CTGTCACTCACGCAGCTGGGCGGATCCCGTCGTCTAAAGTCGGGATCCCCCCCGGCTGCGGCGTCTCAGTATATAATGAGCTGTAGCTCGCGGTATACTGAGCTTAGGGTGACGGGAGGACGCTAGTTTGTGTCCTCCTGTTACCCTAAGGAGAACTATGGGGAAAAGCCCTGACCTCATAGTTCTCCTTTAAGTGCATTTTTCACTAAGGATAAGGAGTTCCGCTAATATCGTGCAACATAAAATTCATTGTCACAGGTCGGCTTAGAACTATGAGGTGAGTGGAAATCACTCATCTCATAGTTCTCCTTTAAGTAATTTTCAGGCCTAAAATGTGGATTATAACACATGTAAACAAAAGACAGGGAGAAAAAAAAGGCCTGGGTCATGAAGGGGTTAAGGTATGAGTACAGAATGAAAAAAAAGGAAGGTGGGAAAAGGGTGAAGGGAAGGAAGGAAGGTTAGTATGATATGATAGACAGTGAAGGAAGGATCCCGTACCTGTAGGATTATAAATGTGGCAGAAGAAGTCTTCCGGAGACTGCAGCATGCACACCATCACCTCTTTTTCCTGGCCAAGTGGAAGCTGTGCCGGAGGCTCTCTGGGCAGCTCTTCTTCCTTCGGCACACTTGTAGTGGAGACGTCGGCGGAATGATCGGCCTCTGCTAAGCCAGCAGCGATAAGATGCTGCGACACCACCACTGGCTGTGTAGCCGATTTGGCAATCAAATCCAACGTAAGAGTGCCAGCAGACTCTGAAACCACCACGGCAGTGAAGACCTTGTTCATAAGAAGGAGGCTAACTTTATGAATGACTTCCGAGCTCCACGTTCCCGATGGAGGTTTCACACCTGTGCCGGACAGATCATTATTTTTCCCACAGATTCACATCGTTTGCACGATTCCCGTTACTTTACCTCTCGCAGGATCTGGGAAATGAGCCCCAAACCTGCCAGGCCAAAGTGCAAGCCACTCCAGTCAGTGTGCAAACCCACCCTAATAGATAACCGGTCACTTACCGGCCAGACGGCACTGGGCGGCCTGGAAAGGAATAATCAGCATATCAGCGTCGATGGGGCGCAGTCTTGATATATCCAGCGTCTCCGTGTTTCCAAAATCCAAATATCCGACCAGCGCAGTGTCATCCGATATATGTTTTACAACGCTGGCTCTATACCAATTGTTGTCTGCTGCAGAAGATAAAAAGACACAAGTTGTCACCTTCTGCCAACGGTCAGGGCTTTTCCCCATAGTTCTCCTAAGCGTAACGGGAGGACACAAACTAGCGTCCTCCCGTCACCCTAAGCTCAGTATACTGAGACGCTGCAGCCGGAGTGGATCCGGACATCGATGTCGAGATCCGCCCAGCTGCGCGAGTGACAGCTGGCTCTGCCTATCTAGAGGCAGAGCCAGCTGTACCCGCCCCCTCCCCCGTCCGATCCACCAGTCAGCGTTGGCGGATCGGAGCGGGGAGAGAGGAATCCAGCCCCTCCCCTGTCACAGCAGAGAGCCGTGACAGGATCGAGAGGTGAGCGAACGCCGGTATGTGTTCGCTCACTTCTCAATCTACTGAGCCGACCTGACAGTCTCATTGTCACAGGTCGGCTAGAACTATAAGGTGAGTGAAAAGCCCCTCCCCCTCATAGTTCTCCTTTTAAGGAAGCAAAAACCCCTCCAGGGGAACCATATTCAGCAAGGATGTCTGCTAAATGTGTCCTCCCGTCACTCTAGGCTCAGTATACCGCGAGCTACAGCTCCCTATATACTATAGACGCAGCAGCTGAAACGGATCCCAACAATTGTGCCTAAATCCGCCCAGCTGTGTGAGTGACAGCTGGCTCTGCCTATCTGGAGGCAGAGCCAGCTGTACCCGCCCCCTCCATTCCTCCAGTCAGCGCTGGAGGATCGGAGCGGGAAGGGGGGAATCCCTGCGAAGAGTGATGACTGACAGTCACGGCTCTCTGCAGGGAGATCTTTGAGAAGTGAGCGAACGCCGGTACGTGTTCGCTCACTTCCCAATCTATTGAGCCGACGTGCGACAGTTTCATTGTCACAGGTCGGCTCGAACTATGAGGATCAGTCATTTTCACTCACCTCATAGTTCTCCTTTAATGATATATGATTAACATTTTTAATAAAGTTTTATTGAGAATATCAGACCAGGCCAGAGCGCTTCCTATTTGTCCTGTAGTGCCGTAAGAGAATTTCCTGGGCTGGATAGGTCTGCAAGACCATGGATCTCATATTTTATTCCATACTCTTATGGAAACACTTGAAAGAACATTGGATGGAAGCTATCAGAAGGCTGCATCCTTTCAACACTCGAGCACTGAAGGTTTGCATTCATTTACAATGACCAAACTCTAAAGCACTGGTCACTAAATGGCAGACCGAGGTGGTGGTTCTGTCCGGATCGCAGTCACCGACCTGCACTGGATCATGGCTACACCCGCCGTATACCCCGAGATACAATATATACACCCGCCGTATACCCCGAGATACAATATATACACCCGCCGTATACCCCGAGATACAATATATACACCCGCCGTATACCCCGAGATACAATATATACACACACACACACACACATTATATATATACCTATACACACATTTAAAAAAGTCATAAAGTTAAAAAAATACAAATTTTAAACCAACCCCGACGCCCCCGCCATCTGATTCTAATGAACATGTGCATAAGGCGTGTATGTAATTGGGGGAGTTGCAGTGCAGATGCTGGTGCAGGGCGAACAGCATGAAAAAACCTGCGTCACTTACCTGTGAACTGGGCACAGCAAACCTTGCCGGGTGCCGGTAAGGAAAGAGGTGTCATGGTCAACGTGCTGCATCTTTTGTTCATTGCAGATACAAGCTCAGCGAGTTCTTCTAATGGAAGAAATGGACGATTAGTGTAAGAATTTGGATGTACAGTACATGGCTGAACTTCGTTAATAAAAAAAAAAGAAACTGTTGAGACTTACTTGCATTCTGGACCGCCTGACAAAAGAACATCTCCGGGTTATGGAAGACAGTGACGAGGGCCTCAAACCGATCTCCCACACGAAAGGAGCCAAGCTTGCCCTGTGGTTCTGGAGACCCCGAATCCACGCAGGACTGCTGCTGCTTCTCTACAGGTTCCTGTGAGGGTTTCGCTGCCGTGGAAGCTAGAAAAACATGGCGGTGATGTTGACGGGATGGACAGTAACTGACATGTTCGGAAGGTGAGTTTGTACAATGCTTTTTTTAATTACAGAAAATAAGATAAAAGCTTCGTAGGTTTACTGCACTGAGCCAAGACCTCCCTCTAGTGGATGATGCCGGTATCTACACTGTTCTACAAATGTGCACCTTTATCAGAAGTCGTCCGATGGAAAACAATCAAAGTTTAGAGTTGTTAAAAAAAAGTATTTGCTGAACAAATGGACTTGGTTCACGAAAATACAATAGAAGACAAAATGATCTTTCATAATGTGTGCATACTAGGGATCCGAAATTTCAGCCAAAAAGAGTACTTTGGGCACAATGCTGAAAGTACAATTTTCTGGCCGAAAATGTGGTGCATCCCTGGTTTCTCTCCTCCTTGCTGGGCGCTGCTCTGTGTTCCCCTTGACACAAAGCAGTGTCCAGCGTTGAAAGGAGAAGCTTTCAGAAGGCTGAGCGGTGCAGGGAGGAGACCGTTTTCTTTTCTCCGAAGCCCGTGGACGTGCGTCTAAACAAACTTCCCTCTGTGAACAAAAAAAGTGAACCGTGAAATCACAGCACACAAAAACGTGCGCAAGGTCCTTCAATAAAGAAGGGACCCATTTCCCAACTCCCAGGGGCGCAAGGCTCCTGACAGGGGTTGAGATACTTTGGTCCACCAACCCGAAGGCCGATGGACCATTTCCTTTGGGGACCAGCCGAAACAGGTACCCCATAGTACTTGGCAAGTGGGCTCTCCCGAAGAGAGACCCACCTCCTGGGTGGGAGGAGACAGAGAACCCCCGTAGAGGGCACAGAATCTCCTCCCAGCATCAGGAATAGGCCTCGAAGGAACCTGCACCTTCAGCAATCTGTGGGTAAAATTTCAAAAGTCAATCGTGCAATAAATAATACTAAAGTGCCAGTGCACCACGCTGACAGGCCTTAGGGGCCGGAGTGCAAAAATATTGCCCCGGACTAGCCATAAGGCCTGTCCAAGAGGTGTTGTGCAGAAAAATGCAAGGTGGTGTGTGACCAAGTGCACAGTGAGTCATGTGGGGTCCCATACCCATGTGACTTTCTGCGCACCCCTGGGATGCCACCCCCAGGGGGCACAACACCACGGGCTTCTGCCGCCCCCGAACCCTCGAGCCAGACCAAGCTTCGCATCTGTTCAGTCAGAAAGCCATGTACTGAGCGGTTCCCCTCTCACAGGAAGCCGCCCCACACGCTCTTTCACTCCAGCGAGTACTAAGTAACCATCCCCCGCAAGGACGGTTCTTTTCCCCACCGAAAACTGATAAGAACAGATACTACACTTGATCTTAGCCAAAAGGCCGAGAAGCAGGGAGGAGACCGGTGTCACAGGAGGCCAAGCCGGCAGTGCGGGGCAGAGTCAGCTGTCACAGGAGAACCGAGCTCTCCTCCCACACCGCCTCCTATGACAGAGAGTCAGAAGGGAGAGAGCGCTTACAAGCTGATCACTGAGTGCTTGAAAATAACTGAGGACACAGTGAGGGGAATTTATCAAAACTGGAGCAGTTGCCCATAGTAACAAATCAGCATCCACCTTTCATTTTCAAACCTTAACGGAACAAACTGCAGAGAGAAGCCGATTGGTTGCCATAGGCAACTGCTCCAGATTCTTCTGCCCCAGTTTTGATAAATTCCCCCCCCAGTATGTTTACTGTGCCCCCAATTATGAATGACCAGGAAGTGCTCTACATCACTTCCTGTTCATTCACGATTGTGGATATAGTATCTCATACTATTTCCACATTTTATGATTGGACAGGAGCACTCAGTATAGAGGCTTCCTGTTCATTCATAACAGGGGCTGCAGAGAGATTATGGACTCGTGTCCTCAGTCTTTCTATTTCAGATCGGAAATATCAGGGGTCTGTTTAGATCTCTGATATTTCCCCAGACCCCCTAACATATATATATATATATTTTGGTTTTGGCCTGACAAATTTTTTATTTTCTTTTTTGGTCTGAAATGTAATTTTGGTGCACCTCTAGTGCATACCAATCTGTGTCCCCAATGTAGAGGCGTCAGGGTCGGTATGAGTTTCCTATGAGAAGCTGACAGTGACATTGCTGAGATTATGGAAACCGTTTGTATGAACACTGCCGTGTAAACACCAATGGAAGACGCCGTCTATCGGAATAAAATGGCACTCGTAGAATCATCTCACCTTCTTCTGCAGAGTCCTCTTTTGTGCGGCCTACAAATGAATATCCCTTCTCCTCCATTACTTTATGTAGAAGCGTCCCTGGTGCAAAACACAAAACACAGACTGAGAAACTATTCAGAGAAAACCTAACGAGCTCCGGTGTCATGATTATAATTATTTTACGGACTGTACTAAAACGGAGCACCAACATTACAAGTCTGCGTGAATAAATCCCATCAAACAGAACAACATGTACTTCCTGCTAATGATCCTTCCCATCATCCAGGGGAGGGGAGATATGTTCCATATAATACTGACCACTAATAGACCAAAGAATATATGTACAAGT